TCTCATTAGCAGCTTCAATAAATTGTTTTGACCCCAATCCAACACCGTTGTTTACCTGAGGCTGCTTATAATTGAAATTTAACACGAAGCATGTCCAGAAACTCTTTGATTAATGAGAAATGAATATAAAAAAGATTATTTTGGAGTCAAGGTACAAGAGGGAGTAAGCACTGATATATTGGGCTGTGGCTGGTTTTTAAGTCTTACACCACTGTAGTAAAATTGGAGCCATGACCCACATTTCGAACAATTTAGCTGTGAGATTAAGTATTGGTGTACTTCAAAGGAAAGGAAGAATGCGTGGAATGGTGCCTTGAGCAATGCACACCCATCCACCTCAAAGTTGGTGGCTAACTGGCTCACATGTTTCTAAGGGAACAGTAAAGATGGCAGGGAGATGGCTTTCTTTTAACCCAAAGAAGTCCTTCCTTTGCTGCGACTGATACCCGTAGCTGACAGTTCTGGTAGACAGATCATCAGGTTTGTGTGATCTTGTGATCCTCATTTTCAATTTGTCATTCCTTCAGATTTCTGCTCTCAGACTCTCACTCAGCCTGATGCCTCATTTGCTTTCCCTCTATCTAATCTCACTCACTTCCTGTCCACCTCTTTGTTTCTCTCTTTCTCCTTCACTCTCTTTCTCATCCCCATCTCCCTGCCTCTTTCCATATTGGACAATCCTGATCTGAGTTTGGTTTCTAATAGGGGCATTCATTTGATGTGAAAATAGACTGAATCGAGGCTGACGGAGAAGGGAGAGCAAAAGGGAGAGGGGCTGGGACCGAGTGGGTGGTTTAACTGTGAGTGCTGGTGTGGTGCTGGTGTGTATTTGTGCACGCATACATGTGTGCGGGAGAGTGACTAAAAGCAACCAATAGAGATAGCAGTGTGTCATGAAGCTCCAGCATGGTGCTCAGTCAGATCCAGGGATACTGTCACATCCTATACTCCTCAACACTGGTCTCTGTGCTCTGTGGGCCGGTGAGATCTATAAGACCTCACAGAGATGTAGATATAAATACTACACCATCCTAGCTACACCTTCTTCTAGTGGCCTGAGGCAGCTGCAGCTTCAGTCTGCTCTATAGATCTCAACGGGTCATTAAAAGGGATTTAACTATTGTTTTAAGCGAACAACGTCAATAATTTGAAGGTTAAATTCATGGTGGGTGACTCATATTAATGGATTGCTGGAATATTTATAGTGACATACAAACCTGGACTTCTAAGCTCAACAGTAATAGTATACCCATCGAAACATCCACCAGTTTTTGTTTTGGTTGATCAGCTGGTTTATGGAGAATAGACTTACACAGAATTAAAATGTTTCAGTTTCATTTTCCATTGGTCATTTCAGTATCCAAATTTATTTTTCATTTTGTTTCATCTTTAAATAGTTAATTATTGCTTGATTGTCAATTATTAAAATAATTGATTATTATCTCTTTTAAAGGATAAGGCGTTATTCTATGCTTTTGTCGTTGTCAACAATAGTGCCATCACTTTTTCAAAAAGTCTAGTTTTGTCAAATTCTAAGTCACATATAATTTGTTTGAATCAATTGATAGTCAAAGTGAATCTGAAGAGCGCCCTCTACTGGACATCGTGTGGTGTCCTCCATACAGATCAGAGATTATGAAACAACAGAAGTCAAACTAGTAACCTGCCAACACACTGCAAACGTGTGAACTAAGCCTACCAGAGTGCTTGTTTGTCCACGTTATTACATTTAGGTGATTGCACAGTGTGAGTCCCTGACTGTGAGAAAATGAAATAATTGTTTATTATCATTATTATTATTGTATATTAAACTTGAGAAAATCAAGAGGACTTTTGAGCAAGTCAATCCAGTTCACTCTGCTACTTTAAGAGCTGATGCAGCCATTTGGCAAATGACTGCCAGAGCGATGTTTTTTGTTTACACTGTGTGTGATTGATCTTGTCAGGTGTAAATCAATGTCAGTAGAGTTTTAAATTTGGAAATGAGACTTTTCTTATAACGGGACAAGAGAATCTACACTGTATCTGTAGTAAACGTTGTTAATCCGAGCAACAGTGTTGGACACGTGTTAATTAACCATTTTTAAAGGGACATTGCACATTTATCAAGTGTCATTCAAGTGTCAGAACACTGAAAATCTAAGACTCACAGGCTATAAACTGTACACATGCTGAATGCAGATGTCACTCACATCAACATGAGGCTGCCGGGCATTGAGACAGGAAAAAAACTGTAGATACATTCTGCTGTTTGTGCTGTTCCTCCATCCCCCTCACTCACTGTCTGACACACACACACACACACACACACATACACACACACACTGTACAACACACAGGGAACTCATGATTATCTTCTTGCGAACATTTAGAAAAGCATACACTGCTGCCTCTCCCTGGACCTAATTTGAACTACACCTTATTTAAAAGCAGGATGGTTTATTGATGGTCATTTTATAATCTACTTACTTCATCGTGTATGTCAAGACCACAGAGTGTCCTTTGAGCAGGTGGTTTATTTTTTTCATTAGTTCATAATACATTCGACAAATTTAAATTTTGAAAGTGAAATGGGAAATCTATCATCGTTTTACGCCTCAAAGCGGTTTCATTTCATTTAATTTCATCACAGAGCCCAAGGGCATATGTGTGTCTCGGGTGAAACTCGTCTGATTGAAACCTTTAATGTTGTTTTTATTGTTATTTCAAAGTCTTTCACATGAGTCTTGTGAACTGTCTTAAAGGAGTACAACGCAGTATATTTTCAGAAAAAAAGCAACATCATTTAGCACATGGGTAACACTATAATGACTCCTTGTTAAAACTGCAACCTCTTTGAGCTTCTTTTGTTTCTCCCTCTTGTGCAGTGGTTCCCAGACTTTCTGGCTTGTGACTCGTCAAAATTGAGAAATGCCTGTGCAACTCGTTGTCACATTGAATATGTGCAGAGCTGTAACTGCACAGAGGTCATGGCCTCATTACTTTTTTTCCCCAGGGAATTTGAACCTGAGGTGCAGTTTACATTTTAGAATTTAAAGTTGTACATAATGGGTATAGAGAGTGGTGAGTAGTGCGCAGAGAGCAATCTTTTTATGTAGAGAAGCTGTGGGACATAAAAATAACATAAAATAATTTTAAAATTGAATGAATAAAGCATGGGAAAAAATCGAGGCTTACTATGGATTTGTTTGTGAGCTGTGAGCACTTTCACCATTTAGGGATTTTTCCTTCTCAAACTGTTTCATTTGAATTGTTTTTTATATGGAAGAAGAGGCAAATAAAGCAAAGCTTACACAAGATATAAACTAAATAAATAAATATTGTACAACAACGTATGTTTTTTATATCTCCTGTGTGTTAATCATGTCATAACCTCTCAGATTTATCTCGTTACCCTTATAGTATGTCCTGACTCCCAGGTTGGGAACCAGTGCGTCAGTTTTGGAACCTGAAACTGCACTCAGACTTTGAACAGGCTGCTGTCAGACCTCTGCAAGCTTTACTTGGCACTCCTGCCAGCTGCTAAATCTAAAGCACTAAAAAGAGTATCAAAATTTCAACTTATCTTCATGTTAAGTCCCTTCATGAATCTGTATTCTGTCTTCACTGTGTAACTGTAGAACTGATACTGCAAGAAACTGAAATGTTATTGAAAATGATCACATAACTGCAAAGCACAGTAAGATAAAATCGCCAGGCATGGAAGAGTTGAGGGACCTTCAGTACACTAATGGGGTCAGTCCTGTGCACCCTCAGCTTTTTCCATTTGAAGTTGTTTTTCATATTATACAAAATGTTGAAAAAAATGGCATGCAAAGTAAAGAGGAAGTCCATTACAACTTTTGCCAGTAAGAAGTTCTTAGGTCATTAGTACTGAATAATTAATCAATTAAAACAGAAGTAAATAAACAAAATCTATCATTAAATATTTACCAGTATGTGGATATACAACAAATCAGGTGCCATCCACACACTTTTTGCAAAATACTTTGAATTCATACTACAAAGTAAAATGCTTTATCATTATCATCTATCATAAGGGTTGCATAATGTCTGGAATTTTTATCTCATGCAATCCACCGGCTATAGCCACTGAATCTGAGCAAAAGCTCTTTTATCCGAGCCATTTATTAGAAATTCTCAGATAAATGAACCCTTCCTGCCTCATTTGGAGCTCAGGCGCCTCAGCTCTATCCAGCTCCTGATTGTGCTCAATAATTCAAATTATAGCATTGAAAAAGAGAATGCAATCCATCATCAGTCATGTCATTTTGGTGTTAGGCAATGATCCTTGAGGGCATGCCAGCTAAATTATCTTATGACATTATGGATGGGGTCATTTGTAACTGTGTCATGCTATGATTACTACTTGGTTACAATGGATCCTTCTGACCTCAATGTGATACAGGGAGTAAAGACTTTTGCTCATAATAATCATGAACCTGGATGTATTCTCATAAGAGTTCCAGTCACCAGGGTGATGAGAGGTCAGGAGTTTCATCAAGAAGATTTTTCTAAAGAAGTACTGAAGGCATACAATTGACATTTGACAATGTTAAAAGTTAGGTGTGAGTGCTTTAATTCCTTAAACACTTTAAAAACTGAATTTTAAACTTTAAAGGAGCACTCAGAGTACTACTCTGGCTGTGTTATGTAATATCTTCCGTGGCTCTGGAGGAGCCTCGTCAAGTCTGAGAAAGTAACCCTGACGATGTCAAAGTGATGTTATTAGGGTGATCTTCAAGTTTTTAACAAAAAGTCTGAGTTACAAACTGGTGGTGTAGCGTTTGAAAGCTGTGGGTGTTAATCAGGTTAACACATTGTGAGTCCTGCAGGTCCTAACATAAATCATGTGGGAGCAGACGGTTTTGACTTTGCTGCGGACTGGAGATTCAATCTGTTATTCAAAATAACAGCAATACAAGGCAAGTCTGACATTTGGAGAAATGTCTCAGTTGTTACCGACAGAAAAAAGACACAAAATCTTTATTTTGTGGCCACAAATGGTCAGAATGTTTGCGGGAACTTGCAGGAATGGAGACACACATAGTGGGAGTTGCCAATAATTGAACATGCTAGGGACTAAAAGTCAAGACATCTCTGCATTTTTAGAATTATGACTCTCAAGTCAAGTCTTACAACTTATGGAACAACAATACTTCACTGAATTATCCCTCACTATCCCCCACTGAAGTATCCCTGAAAGCAACATATTTTTATAGTAACACTGAAATTAAATGTATTAACTACATTAGAGGATTCAGGCATTTCATCATTCGTCTCATATTTATCCATATATCATTCACTCTTTCAACAAATACTATTGAAAAATAAAACATCTTTCAAGGATGTTTTTTACCATACTATTTGTTTCCTCTACGACTGTGGCTATTAACAGACAAAAACAACAGAAATGACTTTAAAAAGTTGTAGATCGTATACAAATGGTTCCATGTATAGTATGTTTCTTAAAAACAATGTGAGAAGGGTGTGAGGAAATGTATGGCAATGACTAATACTAGTAGTAATACCATTTATCCATTTTGAAGCACATGACTGATAATTAATCTAATGTAATGTTGGAATGTTTAAAATGTTGGAATGTTTTATAAAGGTTTTCATTTCATTCCCACATACTATCATTGCTAGGCTGTTTATAGTATTGTAATACTTAAAATTAAATAACACATTTGTACAGTTATTTTTGTTTTAAAACATGCATGGGGGAAAAAATAGCGCAAAGTTGTTGATAGAGCCAAATAGTGCATCATGTTGCTGTCTATTTCCCCAAAAACTAACAATGTCAAAAAAGAAAAGATCTCAGTTTATTTTCGAAAGCTTAGTTTTTGTAATTATGATGGCTAAGATGATGAGAAAAATCTAAAGGTCACTACTCTCCCTGACCTCCCGAAGGGAATTTAGAAAACATTACAGTGCACCACCATTAGGACTGGGAAGGCTGTACTGTAGATAAGAGCACAGCTGAAGATGTTTTTGGTGAATAACAGCCAGTCAAAGGGAAGAGATGCTAGTTTGATGAAGTCTGGGGTTTCCTCTTTTCCAGTTTGATCCAGATGCCTTTCTCTGGTCGCAGGACGAGCTCTCCTACTGGCCGCAGCTCTTCACGTGTCTGACAGGCTTCAACGCTGAAGTTACGCAGAACGGACGCCAGGATCACCTTCTCTTCCATCAGTGCAAAACGCTGACCTGAGGAGCATTACAGTGGAACACACACAAAAGTAAGAGGCTCACTGAGGAAAACTGGAAAGTCAGATCCAGTAGACTACAAATGAAACCTGTTGTGTCCTTACCGATGCAGTTGCGAAGTCCAGCAGAAAAGGGGATATATGCATACGGAGGCCTTCCCACTGAATTCTCAGGCAGAAAGCGCTCAGGCCTGAACTCCTCTGGCTCAGGGAAGTATCGCGGGTCACGGTGGAGAGCATAGGTAATGATGATGGCATTGGCACCTTTGGGCACCTTGAAACCATCTACAGGAACAAAAGAGCCATGAGACATGAGATCAAACAACCTGTCTGAGTGTCTGACCACACTTATTACTGATCAGAATGATAGCTAGAACAACGAAAATATGACCCCAGTTGTTATATATCTAAACTAGCCTTTAATATGATGTATATGATCACATAACCTCTTGTAGCACTTACATGGTGTGACAAACATGTGTGAGAAAGCAAAATGACACAGATACCCTCACAAAAATAAGGCAAAAAGAGCAACAAGCCCACATTCACAGGTGCATTTGCAGAATAAAGACATATAATGTTTTGTCAATTGTAATTTTGTGCAAAACTTTAAATCGCAGCCGTCAGTTACTAGTAGCTACATGGTCTCACAAAAGCACAGTAGCTGCTATTGGCAAGACTAGAAAAATAGACAACATGCTAATACTCAACAAAGAGTTGCTAACTGGCTATGATTTGTTTGGCGTGACACCATATATCAGGTGCATTTGCTTAATTTTTAAATTTTCTTTTTGTCTTCTACTTAACCCCTATACTAGCTCTTATACCAGCTATTTTTTAGTTTAAAAAAAAACAACTTTACCTAGCTTGCTCTTTTACTGTAAGTGTTGGATTTACTATATGTTGCCACCCAGAGAGGCCCTGTTGTATTAATTTAAAGAAACTATGTTGAAATTGGGGAAGACGTGGCTGCAACAACACTGTACAATATATGTTACGTGGCAAAGAAAACTGTTTTTCAAATGAAAATAATAAAAGAAGCCTGGCTTCCCTTGGCTTCCTATAAAGGATATCACTGCCTTGGGGGATTTTCACTCAACAAATTAATGTTTCATTCAAGTGTCATCATTCATCTGTAACTCACTGATATGGCAGTCTTCACCAAGGCTGCGGGCAAAGAAAGGCACAGAGGGAAACAGTCGCAAAGCCTCTTTGATCACACACTCCAGGTATTTGAGCTTCTTCAGGTCCTCCATGTTAACAGGCCGGTCAGATGTACCTTTGCACATTAAACAGAAAACACTGATCTGTTTATTTGCATTCAGTGCTGAAGAGTTGAGCAGAGTGCACACTACTTGTCTAAAGGGTAGGTGTTTTATTACTGTCCTACTTTCATATTGTTGACATATTCTCTACTTTTCCCACCTTTTACAATAGATAAGTGTTCAATAGTACTGTATAGAACACTTCCTACACTTGTGACACACCCCATGGGTTGTGTTTATTTGATAAGTTCAAGAGTAAAGAGCCTTTACTGCCATCATTTGTTAGTTCCAGACAATAATTTAACATTTATATCAACAAATGAATGCGTCTATGCTTGAGGACAAATTTAGATTCTAAAACTGGTGCAAACTGTTCAGCTTTTACTACAAGGCCATCTAGCTTACGTCATGGAAAAAAAATTCATGGTAAATCCACACAGCAGGGAAAATAATTCAATTATTCTCTATGTATTTTGGCAAGGACTTTCACAGCTATTATCCTTGTATAAGCTCCCCTTGCCTTGCAAAGAACAAATGAGTCCCAGCAAAGATGAGTCAAATGGCCTTCGGGCAGGAAAATAAATGATGTCATGAAAGTGAGAAGGTGCGTGCTGATGGGGGTTGAGGGCATGTTTCTGTTACCGAACACCTCCTGAAGCTCTTGTTGAACTTTGCTTTGTGCCTCGGGGTTGGAGCCCAGCAGATGCAGGATCCAGTTCATGGAGGCTGCTGTAGTATCATGTCCCTGCATAATGAGGGCAGTTAAATACAGAAAAACAACACATTATTTCACGGCTTTAAAGAAGCTGCATTAATTGATTTATTTTTTGGGCAACCTGGGGGCACCAGAGAAAGCTACAAACCCAACAATAAAATATAAAATCATTATGGCGAAAGTGTTAGTAAATGGTAGTCTATTTACTGCACACTTCCAGCAGACATGGAGCAACATTCGGTTGAGTTGGTGTTGGGTTTTTGGTCACCCATCAACTGTCAGTCTAATATTTACTCTGCGTTTAGCTCTATGTTGGCCTCCTCCAACTACTGAGGGAAATATCTGCTGCTTAGATGCTAAATGCTCCTCTATGTTCACCAGCTAACTGTTAACTTTGTATTCTGGTGCTAGGCAACAAGCCTACCTTTATCCAAATATAGAATCATGTATTTTTTCATTCATTCTGTGAGTTGTATTTACAACCACCAACCCTGAACATAAAGGTGTCCACTTCCTCCTGAATGTCCTCATGGCTCATCCTGCTGCCATCCTCATATGTGGTCTTCAAGAGCATGTCCAGAAATGCTCGTCTTTTCTTTATGCTCTGATCAGACTCACTGTCTGATTCAGTATAGAGAATGTTCTCTGCTCTTTGGTGTATCACCTGAGATGAAATAAAGGGGAAGGTTGAGGTTGAATGTTGTCCTAAGTTCCTCTTAGCAAACACTGATTTTCAAATAACTCACCTTATCCGTAAAGGAGTGCAAGATCTTGAGTATTCTGTCATGCTCCTGGCCCTCACCAAAGTAGTTGTACATAAAGTCAGGCCAAAACCAAGGTGCCCTCTGTCTGCGGCTGATAATGTCACTCATTCTAGGGACAAAAATTTAAAAAGAAGGCAGAAACATTACATTATAAATCAGTTATTATTCCCTTATTATTGTCTGTATTTATTTGAAAGCAAAGAAAATGAAAAGAACTCACTTGTACACACTCTTAACATACTCAGAATCAGAATTACTCTGGGCGTAAACTTTCTTTCCCATTGCAGTTTCTGAAAGGACATTGTTTTGTCTTTATAATTGTAAATGGATAATAATCGATGCAAATGGAGGTATGAGGTTTATCCAATCCGAACATGCACTTTCAGTGTTCATATACTCACCACAGATAATGTCCAGAGCACACAGTGTTATGTGACTGAAGCAGTTGAATGGGCCCTTCCCTGCCTGCTTCTCCAGCTTCTCCACCAGGATCTCTGCCTGCTCGTTCATCACTTCCAGGAAGTCCATCAGAATGGAGAAGTGGAAGGTGGGAGTCAACATCTTTCTCCGCTGACGCCACTTAAGCCCAGTGCTGATCAAAAGACATCAAAGAGGGAGTAAGACGGTGAGAGAGAACACAAGACCCACATGCATATTCTATAGGATGAAAACAGTTAATTTGTTAAATTATTATTTGTCTGAATTATGATTATAATTATAAACATTGATCTCAGATTCATTATCTGCCCCCACGGACTTGTAAACCGTGCCCCATGGTTACACTGGGCTGAGGTCAGCAGCAGTAGGCCATTATGGCTTTTGACCAGTATATGTCACTATACAGTAAGAAAGAAGCTGCAGTGATCCATCACATTTACTACCCACATATATTTTATATTTATATTTGACATGATAAAATACTTACTATACCACTTCCCTTGCATCATATGCACTATGCACAAATGATACCACACGGTATAATATAATTAAAAACTTACTTTTTGATGTGGTATTACAAAACAAAACAAAAAAATGTCCATGTGTATTATCTTCTGTATATTGTTTACACATGATATGGGGGAAGTGGTATTGTAAGTATTTTAAATGAGTCATTTTGTGGGTAGTATCTATATTAGAGATGACTGCTTGTTTTTATTGTATAGTGACATCTTCTGGCCAAAAGCTACATAAGCTACTGCTGCTGGCTACCACCAAAACATCATGTGCATGGATTCATAAACTGAATGTACAGACTTACACTTTGCCCCCCCACCCGTTTTTTCTCTAGAATCAGTCCAGTATTCCTACTGGAACAGATTCCCTGTTAATGAATCATATTAATTGCAGTGACCCCCCCCCCCCCCCCCCCCCCCATTCAAGGCCAAAATCTCCAGAGAATATAATGAAATCTTACATTTTGATTTTCACAATCAGCCACAACATTATGAGCACTGACAGAATAACACTGATTATCTGGTTGTCATGGCACCTGTCAGTGGGTGGGATATATTAGGCAGCAAGTGAACATTTTCCTTTTCCCATCCTCAAAGTCGATGTGTTAGAAGCAAGAAAAATGGGCAGCATGAGGATTTGAGCAACTTTGACAAGGGCCAAATTGTGATGGCTAGATGACTGGGTCAGAGCATCTCTAAAAACTGCATGCTCATTGGATCGCAGTGGGAGGTGCAAGGCTGGGCCAGGTGGTCCAATCCAAGAAGAAAGGTGTCAGAACACACAGTGCATTGCAGTTTGCATCTGGGACATAAAGATGGTCATATTATTGGTATTTATTTATTTCATCATCATTTTTTTTCTTTCTCTTTATAAATGCAAGCTGCTTTTCTGATCATCACCGCCAGACTTAATATTGTGCACAGGAGAGCCACAGGCACATACCTGGTGAGAAGACCAGTTCCAAGCCAAGGGTGAAGGAAGTTGTATACAGTGGCTTTTTCCATATGAATAGGGTTGGTCAGAACTGCCTGTAAAAAAAATAAGACAAATTAAACAAGTTTAGCTTAGTTTAACAAGTTGTCATTTTAAAAAAGAGTTGGAATTCAACTTGAGCTGTTTTAAAGTGCTTCAATTTGGTTTCATAGTTATGGCTGTAACAGTTGGACTGTAATTGCTTTTAAAAAAAAGTCCTAAAGAATCCTATTCAGTTACTGCGATGACTTGTTTCATAAAATAAATAATATTTACAAGATAAGGCATGTGGACTTTGAACAAGTTACACCTACAGTATGCATACTTGGTGTTGTAAAAGTGGAGTTACTATACCTCAACAGTTTCAGTGTGAAACAGGATCACAAATGGAACTATTCCAATCCAGAGTTTAAGCAGCGGTGCATTCGAGAACTCCTGGGTATAATCCACAATTTGACGAAAGAAATCTGAAACGAAGATAAAACATCTCTATATACAGTAATGGAGCATTAAGTGGGCGTGTAGGCAATCACAGCTGAGTTCCACTGTGCCTAATGCTCTATTACTTGACAATCTACACATAAATCAGCCTATGGGGCCTCTTATACCATGTTGGATGCTTTCTTACCTCCTGCATTATTTTTGAACTGCAGTGCATTTCCAATGAAGGGATATGTTCCTTCCACCCCTGGAATAGGCTTCATCTCAAACCATTTGTGCAGGTAACCGCTGAGCAGCTTGTAGGTGATGTAGGTCAGAGCAGCAATGAAGATGCTCACTCCAAGTAAAGGTACTGAGTAACTACCAAGTTCAACTGCCATCTTTCTGCCGTGTGTACGTACAGCGTATGTGTGTATTTAAGCTGCAGCACAAGGTTTTCCTCCTGTGTCTTCGCTATAAATATGCGACATGTATTCTTTTGCTTTGCCCCTCCTTTTCTCTGCAGCCAATCCACTGACAGCTCACTGGGTTAAAGGGTGGCTCACTGTATTTATTATGGTTATGGTATTGTATAACATGCTTTAGGATAAAATACAAGATAAATAACATTAAAGGTAGGAGATAAATAATGAATGAATTCTAGGATAAAAGATAAGAGATGGTAAATGTTTTAAATGATAAAGATGTTAATTATTTACCTTGTGAGTGCTGACTGGCCCTGACCAAGGCCTTTGTCCTATTTATTTTCGCCTCGTCTGGTATTTGTCAACATACTTTCAAATCATGCCAACCTGATTATAAATAACATCCTTATCTTAGCGGCAGATTATTATGATCAAAACAGGTTTTCATTGTCGTAAAATTAATGCAAATAACATATGGGTCTTGACTTGAACGATACTCTTTTTAGTCACATGAGAACTTTTATATTATATGCTTATAAATAGTTACTGAGTAATTATTTACTGTTTTTTAATAGGTTGTAATAGGTAATAGGTTTTTTTTCAAACACTGTAAATAACATATTTTTGTGTGTGTAGATTTTATTGTAAAAGTAGGTAAGACAAGTGTAAAGTAAGTATTCTGGAGGCATTATGTAGTTTGTGGTGCCTCAAAATGGACCTGTTAAATCAATATCTCTGTGTCAGGGCCTCAGCTAGCATGAAGGATATTGAGGTCATGTACTATTTACTTTACATTCATTTAATTTAAGTGGTGTTAGGCCAACAACATAACAAACAACCACTTCAGCATGCCTTCCGCTCAATTCTGTGCCTGGCATTGTCGAGAAGACAATTCCCCAAAATGGGCATTGCTCAGTGAACCAACCCTGTGTACTATACAGTACAATTAAACACTTACCTGCAGTAGGTGGGAAAAGTAGAGAATATGTCAAGCATATAGAAGTAGGAGAAAGTTCAACAGCACCAAAGCTGAGAAGACACTTTTTAAATTAGACAAGTAGTGTGCACTCTGTTCAACTCTTCAGTAGTGAATGTAAATAAACAGTGTTTTCTGTTAAATGTGCATCTGACCAGCCTGTTAACACAGAGGACCCATTTGATCAAAGAGGCTTTACGACTGTTTCCCTCTGTGCCTTTATTTGCCCGCAGCCTTGGTGAAGACTGCCATATCAGTGAGTTACTGATGAATGACACTTGAATTTGAATCATTTGTTGACAAAAAATCCCCTCAGGCAGTAGTATTTTCTTTTTTTGGTGGTGGTGTTGGTATACTACTGTATATTGTATAGTGTTGTTGCAGCCATGTTTTCCCCAATTTTCCACAGAGTTTCTTCAAACTGGTAAAAATAGGGCAAAAGGTAAAGTTGGCATTATTTGATTAATAAGTAGTGCTGTTGGAACACGAGTTATAGGAGCTAGTGCAGGAGTACAATAGGAATTAAGATAAACACACCTTGATTATGTTATCAGACCAAACAAATAGCCAGTTAGCAACTTTGTGCCAATGACTGTTTCATAGTTTTATTGTCTAGCTAGTAGCAGCTACCATGCTTTTGTAAAACCATGTAGCTAATAGCAGTTGAACAATCAATTTGGTGGTTTTTTTTTCGTTGTTGTTTTATTTAAAGTCCAAAAAATTGACTCAGTTTTACTAAATGTTTATATCTTTAGTAATATATGACAGTCTTGACACATATTGTATACAAGACATATGGTGTCATATATTAGATACATACTAAAAGAAAACAATAAAAGCAAAGAAAAACATATATATAAAGCATTTGTATGGTTTCCTATCCGCTCATCTGTTAGAGCATATGCACCACACAGCTCCTTACTGCAATGGTTTGAATCCAGCCTGGGCCCTATGCTGAATGTCATCCTGTCTCTCTCTCTTTTATTAAATACAAACAAAAAACAACATACAATGTTTTAACAAATTTTGTAAAAGACATAAAATACATATAAAACATAAACATTTACAATAAGGAGGGAAAGGGAAATTCCAATTCCAATTTCTTTTTCCTTTCAATCTGGGATGGACCTAGAAAAGTCATTTAATTTTTTGAGAGTATGTGTGCAAGAAGATATGATCGTATACGTCATATTGAAGGGTAGTTCAAGTTTATTACAAGTGGGGTCATATTTCCTCAGTTCTCGCTATCATTCCAATCAGTAATAATGGCAGTGTACAGGACACCAGTGATCAGATACTCAGACAGGTTGTATGATCTCATGGCTCATATTTCTTGCCTATCACACTAGTGATGTCACCTTTTCCCAGGCCTCAGCCAAAGCCCTCACCCCTCTCCTCCTCTCTCCCTCTCTAAATGTGACGCGTCCCAGTCAGAGGGGTTATGCTTGAGGTTTCTGCCTCTTAAAGGAAGCCTTTCCTGGCCATGGATTTTAAATTACAGCAGAAAATAAACACTTTGATAAATAACAAAACAAACACAACAATTCATATTTCCAGGTGATTATACACAAATGAAAAACATATCTATGAATATGATATTCCACTTCTGTCAATATATCCACCTAAATGTTACACACTAGACCTTGAACTAGCTTATTTCAGGCATCTAACCAAAAACCCATTCTAAAAACCAAAGTATCATATTCTACCAATACATACCCCTAAATCTTACACACCTTTAATTCTGTGTATCACATCCAGAAATGCTGCTGTGTGTGTTGCACTGTTATGCTCCTCAAGTCAGTGTGTTATCGTCCATTCTGGAATAACTTTTAACGTTTAAGATTGTCCTAAACTTGCCAGAGAGCTCATCTTGCAAACAGAGGAGGGCATCTGGATCAAAATGGAAAAGGTTACAACTACTCTGGAAAAACATCTTCTGTTGAGGTTTTAATCTATAGTACGTCCTTCCCAGTTCGAATGGTGGTGCACTGTAATCTTTTCTAAAACCCCTTTCGAGGTCAGGGAGAGTAGTGACCTTGGTGTTTATATTTTAGAATTTTCTCATCATCATGGACATCATAATTACAAAAAATGACCCATATAAAAATACACTGCATCATATAGCTGTCTATCAACAACTATGCGCTATTTTTGTGCCCCGGGAATGTTTTAAAACAAAAATAACTATACAAATATTACTTTATTTTATGTAGTAAAATGTTAGAAACTCCTAAGCAATAATAGTATTTGGGAATGAAATAAAAAGCTTTATAAAGCTTTATAAAACATACAGCCAGTGTATGACTTTTAGAAAATAATTGATCATTTTGAAACACATTATTGACTGGGATAAATGGGACTACTTCACTGGTATCACTGCCATTTATTTTCTCACATGCAAACATGGAATACATGAAGCCAACTATTTTATGTCCTTTTTTTGTGGCATTTCTGTTATCTTTGTTAATAGCCACAATTAAAGAGGAAGGGATATGAATGTTCAAATTATTCATTTAAAAGTCATATTCTGCCATCGCATAACAAGACCATATAAGAAATATAAAACCTAAAACAACTTCTTTGTTTATTTCGTTGTTTTTTTTCCTAACAGTTATGTTTTGATAAGCCTTATTTAGCCATTTACTGTATATGTAGAGTTTAAAACATCTGAAAACAGGATGATTTTTGTACCTTACTAGTTACAGAATAGGCAAATAATAAATACACAAATAAGCCATAGTTTTTTGTGTGTGTGCAGATACACACAGAGCCACTTTTTTGCACATTAGAGTTTCCCCTTTTGCTCATTCATAAACTGTTTAACATTCAAATTAAAACACTTGTTTTTGTTGTATATAAAGCTGCAATGCAATGGAAATACAATAAGGTTTGTACAGTTTACAGTGCATAGTCGAATAAGCACAATATTTACACAGAGGGCAAAACAATCCACAGTTGGTAGAAATAAGCGATAACTGAACAAACACTGGTAATTAATATTATAATAAGAACTTCCCATTACTATCAGTGGAATACTTTCACTCCTGCAATCGATTAGTCATGCCAAGTGCTATGAGGAGCTTCTGGTGAAAGGCCGGTACCCTCTCCTTGTGGACAGGCCAGTCCAGGATGCAGCATGGACGCAACATGCCCCTGCGGAGGAAGAGTGAGCGAGATAACTTGTAGTCGTGAACATCCTGCAGGAAGACCAGTACCACAGAGTCCCTGCTGGCTTCAATGACCTGGTGAAGTGCATGGTAGGCTTTAAATCTGGATAGGTATGAGGGCAGAGAGACAACTTTGAGAATTCACTTTATCACAAATACACAACATGAATGCCTATGTAACCCAGACAAAATACACTACACATCACACATTTCTAAATGACATATTTTATTTTTACTTGGCTTTAATCTTTTGTATAATTTATAATAATGTATAGCAGTGTATGTTTGATTTACCGTCTACACCAGGGATCTCTGAGAAGAGTTTCAGTGACGACAAACAAGATTTTTCGAGACTTTCTCATATTATCCACAATGGATTCAAGCTGGGACATGCCAGGGACTGAATCTCGATCCTCCAAACAAAACCTGCAGTTGTCATTCTCCAAGGGGACCATCCTTCTCTCAACCCAGCTGGCATCTTCCTCAGCATGTATGACGTAAGCATCATACTCAAATTCCCTGCCCTCTTCAACTCTGGCATCACTAAGCCCTAATGTGCGATTGATCAATATGTTCCAATAAAACTGAATCCTCCAGCCGTGGAACCGCACCAGAAGTGCAGTTACCATCAGCATGATGACAGTGGTGCTGCTCAGTATGTAAAGAGTCTGAAATGGGGTCATATCTTTGCAAGAGAGGGTGTCAAAATCCATGACAGAGCGGTTAAAGTAAGCTAGTGGAGTGTTGCACATATACTCGTCCCTGAGACCTGGCACATTGGTCATATTTTTGTTATTCAACCATGTCACGAACCACAGGATGCTCTCACATGTGCAGTCAAATGGATTTTTTCCCATGAGAAGCAGGCTGAGGTTGCTCATAGGTGTTTTGAACACTTCGGGCCTCACAGTTGTGATCAGATTCTTCTGTAAAAATAAAAGCTGCAGTGAGTTGAGATCATCAAAAATGGAGTCCTTAAGACTATTGAGGAGATTGCTACCCAGGCTTAGTTCACGGAGGTCACTCAGCCCTCTCAGAGCATCTGCTGGGATCTCATCCAGCCCGTTACTATCCATCAGTAAGGTTTTCAAGTTCCGTGCCCATTTGAGAAACAACACTGGCCCACCTAGGTTGGCGCTCTTCCACAAACGGGCTAAGTTATTGTGTTGGAGCTTCAGCACCTTTAGGTTCACAACCCCCTCCAACATATTCTCTCGGATGTTACCAATGTTGTTGTTGCTGAGATCCAGGATGGTGAGGTTGGACAGGCGACTGAATGGAGAGGGATCCGGGTTCAAGGCTTTGGCTGTAAGACTTTTTCCCAAAGTCAGAACCCTAAGATTGGGAACATTAACAAACGACGTGGAGCTCAGATTGACTGTCAGGTGATTATAGGACATGTGAATCTCTTGAACTTGGCTCAGGCCTTCAAACTCTTTGCCAGTGAGAATTTGTTTAATAAAGTTGTGATCTAGAACAAGAGTAGTGAGATTACTGAAAACAGAGAAGGCTCCAGGATTAATCTTTGTTATGGCTGTTCCTGTCAGATTTAGCTTTGTGAGAGGTGATCCGGCTAGTGAGACTAAGGTCTTGTTGGTGATATTTCTGAGCGAGGTATAAGTACTCCAACTTATATCAAGTTCTTTAAGACTTGTCAAGCCTGTAAAAGTGTGCTCTGTGAGTTCCCGAACTGCAGTACTCTGTAATATCAAACTCTCAAGGGCACTTAATGGTTGGAAGGAGAAATCATCAATAATCGGGGTGGAGGAGGTATGACTTTTCACAAGAGCTTTTGTCAATTTGAGTTTTTTCAAACTTTTGAGCCCCTGAAATGTCTCCTTGGTCACATGCTTAATGTTATTGTCCGACAAAATTAGAGTCTGAAGTCTGGGCAGCCACTGAAATGAGCCTGGTTCAATTTTGCCCATTCCATTATAGGACAGATCCAGGAAGGTTAGATATGTTTTTTGTAGCCCTGAAAATGTTTTGTTGGTGAGTGTGACCAGCTTCATTTTCCGAAGAGACAGGGTATCAATGGCTGTCCCTGACAGCTCTAAGCAGAGTTTAGCAATAATCAGAGTGCCCATTTTGCTCCCATCCATGATTAAAGTGTGTAGTCCTGAAATGGGCTTAAAGCAACCAGGCTCCAACTGCAACAAAACATAAAGAGATCTTGCAGTGAGACAAAAAAGGGAAACAAAACAGACAACTGAAAGATAAGGTGCTCCAATAACTCTACATCCTACCAGGATTCTAACACTGACAATTACATTTCATGTCCCATTTCTAGGGAAGTTTCTTACTATTTTTAGAGACACAGATGACAGGTTGAGGGTCTGTAGAAAAGATGAATGGTTAAGGAAGGAAAAGTCATCTTTCTTCAGAGTGTTGATGTTATTGAATGCCAAGTTGAGGTTCACCAGGCTGGGCAGCTGAGGCTGAGAGCCGAGCTTGGCTGATTGCAATTTGTTTGCGGAAACATCAAGAAACTTTAGGCTCTGTGAATTATAAAAGGAGAACAAAAACAACATAAAGTGTCATTTAATGCAATGCATGAATTGATACCACTCTCATGTCTGTACAGTAAATATGTAGCTGGAGGCAGCAAGCACTCAGCTGGGGCAAAAGAGTTTTTTTCTCCTAAAAATTACAATTCACTATCATCTCATTGTCTATTTTCAGTCATCATCACTATTATTGTACCCTCGTTCATGAGGCTTTCACTTTCTCTCCAGCTATCAAACATCCAACTTATCAGCGCAACATGTAGCCTACCTGTAGTGCAGAGAAAGGCTCTCCTTGTAGTTTTAGCCTATTACTAGCCATATTCAACCTTGTTAGATTAGTGCAATGGCTCACATCCTCCTTCTTGAGAATATACACTTCATTGTGCTCTATATTTAAAGTCTGCAGCAGAGGCAATGTCTGGCACAAACCCCCGTCCAGCTTGGTGATACTGTTGAAACCGACATCAAGGTGGAGGAGGCCTGGGTATGGGGTTAGTGAGTCAGGGGGAATCCCCGGCAATCTGTTGTGAGACATGTCCAGGCTGGTAAGGTTGCTGGGAAGGTTTGGGGGGACCGCACTGAGGCTGAGATGACTGCAGTCAGCTCTACGGTCTTGCACATGGCAGGACGTCTTCTTCTGGCAAGCCACGCAATTGTACGATCCCGTCATAAAGAAACATGTGATGATCACCGCTGAGAGGAGAAGGGAACGATGGGCATGCATTGTTTCAAAAACCTTTAAAAAAGAAAGAAAAAAAAATGTACATGAACCTTGAACCTAGATTAATTAATTTTGGCAACTTGGGGGCCAAAAAATAAGAATAACACTGACATATTATCATATTATAATGCTGTAAACATGTTAGCAGTTACCTGTTTGCACATCAGGCAGACACAGAGCAACATTACAAAATGTTTGGAGTCGTGTTTCTGGCAACGTCCAATATGCACTCTTCTTTTAGCTCTGTTTTGGTTTAAAAATATCTGACTCTTTAGCACCTAAAATCCTCTATTATGTTCATCAATTAATTGTTGATTTTGACTCTCTTCAGTTTAGTGTCAGCTAACCCTGCATCTTTACAGTGAAAAGACATTTAAAATAGATTCAAAAGTGAAGTGAAGGTGTTGAAGATGGGATTTGCAACAGTGACATTTTTCATCCTCTTCAATGTGCAAATAATAGCCACTTTGGAGCCTAAAACAACATCCAAATTTCTCAGTTGAAAGCCAGTATAGATATAAAAATTCACCCTTATATGGTACTCAAATACCCAGTCTCCTCAGGGAAGGCCCTGTACTTAAACCAAACATTCACAGCATCTTCCTACTGAACCTAACAAAAGGCAAAAAGGCCTAAGATTAACTTCACACAATACCACAAGTCCCGGTGCATATACCTTCGGAGTAGTCGAAGCTGTAACCAATACACTTTGCACATGTGTGTTACAGCAGTAAGGGCAATTCATGTACAGAACTTCACCCATTACAATATCCCAGGAGCTTTTTTGGCAGCACAAATCCTCCATATATATTTTTCATATGAAACATTAAATGCGTTGAAATTACCTGTTTGTGCAGAACACATTTTGTTGAATATGACTTTGAGGAAATACCCTCACACTAATCAATATCTCTCTCTCAACCTAAAACTGAACAAAACATTCAAAGGATCAAACAAATTCATTTTTTGTGACACGTTGACATTGTAATCGCATTTTAGTTGTTTTCAACTCACGGGGTAAAGTGGGTTTATCAGAGCCTTTTGGTAAAAATAAACTACCGTGCAACTGGAAAGGAAGTCGATGAGAGGAGCCATTCGAAACAGATGTGCTCTGTAAAACCAAAATACCTCATATAGCTGAGGGGAAGTGAGTCAGATCGGGTGATAATTCATTCGTCACTATGAGCAACATCTTTTACTTTACTCATTCGCTCTACTGTTAATATAAAAATATCAACTGATTGGTGCAGCTTTAATACACAGAATAGTCCATGAATGTTTACTCAGTAGAGAAAATAAGTTATCATTTTGTTTCATTTATGACATTACCACATTTTAAATTCTGCCAACAAAAACATCTGTCCCAAAGGTATATTATTACTCACAGGATGCCAACATCTCTTAAGTCTGACTATTACCGATATAATACCAGCAGACTTCTTACCAGATTTGCATACAGGCTGCAAACAGAAGGCATTCACTTGCAGCACCACTGTCTTTACTCTCCAGGACCGCAGTCTAGACTCTCAGTGGGAGCTCAAAAAGCCTGCAGAAACAAAACGAGGAAATAAGGAAATGAGAAACTGGAAGCTCCGGTTTCACTTCTGTATCAGGGTCTACATCCACTGGACATGGAGCTGTTTCTTGCAGAAGGATAAGCAGAGGTATTAGGAAGTTTGAGTGACATTTAAACTCACATTCTACAACCAATGTTGTTCACATACTTCAGATTATTAAACATTCACAGTGGCTGCAGACATTGGTAAGGATCTGGTGAGGCGTGGTGTACACAGGCGGAGGTGGTTACATTTAGGCACAATAATCATCAGAGTGGGACGGACGTTGTCTTGGAAGGAAAACGCTGCACCTCTACCGTAATCTACGTCTGTGTGTGTTACATAAGGGTAAATTAAAGCCAATTGCGTTTCCAATCGCCAATTAAATGATAAATCCCGTCTATCTGTTTTAAAAACATAAATGACAGAGCACACATTCTTTATTAACTTGCTTTAACCACCAATGATTGTAATAAAACAAGCCGTGTTCGTGTTGACGCTTATCGCTGTGTGGAATCAATACCGTAAATGTACGAATAGACGTGCAGGACATTTAACGTGGAGACTTTAGTTGCAGTTTTCAGACATACAAGGAATTTAACTCGGGTTTTTAAGTTGCTCTCAGTGTGCTACTCACAGTCCCAACAACAGTTTGAAGGATGATAGAAACAGGCATGCAGCTAAAAGACAACAAAGGCGAGCTAAGCCAGGTAATAATAAAGGTGAAGAAATAGATATAGGCTATAAATATATAGAAAACCAACGATGCCCAACGGCATACAACGTGTATATACAAGTGTTTATGTAAATTGTACACAATACAAATAGTTCAAAGAAATGAATGGATATATTTGAAGTGGTTAGTTATGTATATGTATGTATGTAGGCTATAATCTGCAGGATTTATATTGGCAATGGTGGACATGTACAGGTTAAAAATAGTGTGTTTAAACTAAATATATAATCTGCAAGTGTAAATACTTTAAATAGCTATAATGCCTGTGATTAGTTTAAAAGAACATCACTGTTGATACTGTGTATGCCTGTGCTGTCTCAATGGCTATGTATTGTATTTTTTGAGATTTTGTAAGGCTTTTTTTTTTTTACTTTTATACATCCTCTGAAAACCAAGCATGACTCCTGGCCTTTCTTTATGTGTTCGACTTCTTGCTCTCTGCTGTGTAGTTGACAAGAATTAACTTGTCTTCAGTCACTAATGCCTGTTCCGGAAGACCGGTAGTCCAAGTCTTGCTCTGAAATAACCTGTTATGCCAGGTGCTCAAATCCATGCAATCAAACCTTATTTATTTATATTATATATATTATATGGGTAAGATTATGATGTATTAGTTTGTTCTTAATTCAAATAACATAAATGGATCTGCCTATAAACTGTACAGTTGCAATTATTTGTATACGGTTGTTAAAATTCAACACTCAACGGCTTCCTCATTCAGAATAATAAATCAGGCAGGTACTGCATGGTATCACTTTATTTGTTTAGTCCAAAGTTGAACTATTAGGTAACACTGACATACAATGGACACTGATCCTGTAGGAAGTAACCATTCAACCTAAGTGTGACCGGTAAATATGTTCATGTTCTAAGAGCAGCTGCTGCCCTCAACCTACAATAGATACAATATATATATATATAATATTTTTTTTCCCTTGCAGGTGGAAGTGAGAGCTTGACTCACCTGTGGCATACAGTTCCCTAAAAATAGATGCTGCAACAGTCAAGATGCAGAAGTAAGAGAATCCAAGAGAAGAAGACTGCTCATGTCTGTAGAATCCACACAGGGGTGTAGACAGTATCAACACGTCTTTTGTTGGCCTTACCTGCCTTTGCTCGAATGCACTTTAAAAGTTGTATGGCAAGGGTGGATGTTATCCTTTCACTTACTCTTTTTGGTCATCTTCAAAGTAGAAATCTTCATCAAGTCATATGATGATGGTTAATTCTTTATCGTTTTATAAGTCAACATGCCCTCATTTAGGACACCAGAGAAGTGAAACTGGAGTAAGCTAAACTGGGAGGGGAAAAAATAAATGGGTTACTTTGAAATAACCACTAGAGGGCAGTAAAATACTGTTATTGAGCCACTCAACCTCCCAGCAACATGTCATCCTG